AGCAGACTGTGCTGGTTCCCCGTACAGAACACAAGCACACACACGCACATGTACACACGCATACGTGCATATTCACACGCACACGTGACACGCATGCATGCATACAGTGGCATTTGAGTGTGAGGCACGTGTGCATGTGTCATGTATGCTTGCACGTGCAGGTTGTGATACATAACATCGCATTCACGGTAGTTGGTTGTGGTGGTATCACGAACCATCATGCTGTTGACCCATCGCCGCGCCACGATGGAGTCGAGACCGCACACAACAACAGTAAACTCTGCATTGGATGTTGTGGTGTGTGGGCGGAGTGCATCAGATAGCTTGGTCAGCGACTGGAGCATGCGTGCAGACACTGGAACACGAACACACATGTGCACATACACACATCCAACACACGCACACACGCACGCACACGCACGCACGCACACATACATACATACACACACACGTTTGTAAAAGGCCCGGTCCTTTGATTCAATCCGGGAGAAGTGGGGCGTGACCTTGCAGCCCGGCACGCGCTTCTCAATGAACTTGGCGGCAACCTCTGCCTTTGGCGACCCAATGTCAGCCTCCCTGTGTGGTGGGATGATGCATCATGACAGGATGCGCGTTCGTTGTGGGTGAGAGAGGCGACAAAGGACGTCCATCTTCTGTCAGGGTGATAGACGACAGCAAGCGTGTGTGCGTGCTGTACCTGAAGAGGAATTGGCGGTTGAGGTTTGAGAGGTCAATGGTGTCCATGTCGATCACATCAATGTTGCGGAACCCCATCAGCGCCTGTGTTGGCGATGCAGACGCCATGTCGAAAGAGGGCAGTGGGTGAGCTAAAGCACGGATCCGTGCAGGATTGACGACACATGCCAAAGCAGCGAGCCAGACAGTGCCGTGTTGACGTACCAGGTCCTTGAGGAGCTCGCAGCCCAGGCCACCGGCGCCGATGACCAGGATCCTAACACTGTCTTGCAGGAACGGGCGAATCTGGTGGCGAACAAACGAGAGAGACATGTAGGGGAGGGGTTGTAGTTGCGCGCATGTACAAACGGATGAGCATGGTGAGAGAGAGAGAGAGAGAGAGTGTGTGTGTGTGTGTGTGTGGTGCAGAAGAGGCACTCAGACAAACACACAATGCGTACACACACACACACACATGTACACGCACTCGCACAGACACACATGCACACAGACACACATGCACACTCAGACACACACACACACACACAATCACACACACACACACACACACACACACACACACACACACACACACACACACACACACACACACACACGCACCACCACTCACCATGCCCACGGCTTCATCAAAGCCCTCCACGGCAAGCGGTCCCGTGCGGGACAGAAGCTTGTCAATGTGTGCCCAGCGGTCACCCCTGGCAGCAAACGTGGGTGGCAGAAGCCAAGATGTGAGGACATGCATGCATGCACACAGCGGTCAGTGGATTGATGGCGGCATGGCACCACTGACAACGCGCGCCAATTGCTGCTTGGATGGATACACGCAAGTTTGTGCCCACAAACAAAGTGCGACCAACACAAAGCAAACATCACCTCCCTCCCTCTCTCCTCGCTCGCCAACAGCCATCGTCCACCCCTTCCACTCCTGTGAGGCCACCTACATCTTTGGTTTCTTGTTGTGCTCGGGTGTTGACATCTGGTGTGTGTGTGCGCCCTTCCAACCAGTCTTGCTTTTGCTCTCCTCATCAACAACACCACCCAAACAAACAAACAAGCCAAAGAAAACTTCGTTCCAACAAACCTGCTCCAACACACATCCCACCAGCACCTCACCCCCTCAACCAACCACATCAACCAACCAACCACCTCACACCATCCATTCTACTCCAGTCCATGCTGCTCGCTCGCTTGCTTACTTGCTTCGCACTGCACGCTATCAACTCTCTCTTTCAGTGAGTGCAAAGCCAATCAATCAAGCAAGGAGCGAAGCAAACAACAGGCAAGCAAGCGTGCACGCCAACTGCACGAGCATGCATGGTGAACATTTGCATGAAAGGTCTAACAAACGGAAAGCACACACACACACACACATACAACCACAACCACATCATGCCTTCATTCATCTTCTTCTCTGTCTCCGCTCTTTGCACGCTAACTGATGTGTAAACAAACAACCCACCAACCCACCAACCAAACCAAACAAGCAGCCTGACCCACACGTTCCTCCAGACAAGCACTAGCTCTCCTCTCGGCCTGACGTGAACACTCCAACCCAACAGTCAACCTCAACGCACACACAAACACACACAGACACAGACACAGACACAGACACACACACACACATGGCGTGGTCACTCGTGGCGCTGCGTTGCGGCGAGGGCGGAGCGGGATGTCTGTGCCTTTCGCCACAGAACAATCTCCTGCTGCTTGAAGTAACGGCGGTCCTGGGAAATACATGAGCACACACACACACACACACACACACACACACACACACATACACAATAGTGAGTCACAGCAACGCAAGCAGCGTAGAAGGAGAGAGCAATGCGCAACATCCGCACGCGGCACATGTGTGTGTGTGTGTGTGTGTGTGTGTGTGTGTGTGTGTGTGTGTGTGTGTGTGTGTGTGTGTGTGTGTGTGTGTGTGTGTGTGTGTGTGTGTGTGGGCACCTCTTCGTCGACGAGGACGAGGTTGAGGTAGTACTTGACGGAGAACTTCTTGTTGACGTTTGGCATCGACGGCGTCAGGTCAAACCCGGACAGGAACAGGCGGATCGGGATGCTCTCCCCTGTAGCACATGATGCAACATGACGACAATGGAACAAATCACATCAGGCAAACAATCCCGCGTCATATGCGGCCACGTGTGATGTGATTTGCATGAGGACATGCAACGTGGTAGGGCGAGACGCTAACTTTGAACAGCAGTTGTGTGTGTGTGTGTGTGTGTGTGTGTGTGTGTGTGTCACGGGTGTGCGCACCTTTGACGGGGGCGCCATCCATGATCTCATACTTGGTGATGGTCTGGTTCTCTGTGTAGTGCGATTGCCCTGAAACAATGGCGAGACATCGCAGCAGCAGCAGCAGCAGCAGCAGCAGCGCGTGAGCGCATAAACGACAGGCCAGACGACAATTACACACACACAGACACACACACACAATCACAAACACGCATGCAACGGAGCCCACATTTCACACACACACACCCCCCAACGGCCTCACCGCCTGGTGCTGTTGTTGTTTCGCGGCGGATGATGGCGAGCTCCATGTACTTGATCTTGATGCGCACGAGCAGAAAGTAGATCTTGCCCACAATCGCATCCCGCAAGTGGTATCTGCAGCCGTGCACGCCGAAGAGGAGGACGTCAACACGTGACTGACTCGACGGGCAAAGGGCACACGCACTCATACGCATGCACTTACGTACACACACTCACACACACACACACACACGCACGCATACTCACACAGGCACACACCTACGTACACATGCACTTGTACACGCACTCACATACGCAGGTGCTCGTCCATGTAAACACAATCACATACACGTGTTCACACACAGTGTAAACGTACTTTGATCGGTTGTACTCAAACTCGATGTGAAGGCAGTCCTCGATGCCAACCTCCATCTTGATGCTGCAGTATGGCGGCGGGAAAGGACCGAAAATGCACCACATGAACAAGTGTACACAGCAAGCAACATGTGTCCATGAACATAATGCCTCACGCAAAGAAGCGGAGACAAGGCAAAGACGAGACAAGAAAGAAGGGGTATAATGTGCGTGCAAACGCCTGCTTGCAGGCACAATATCCCTGTTGCGCAAGCACACACGCACACAGACACACACACAGACATATACATATACATGTACAAACGCACAAACTGACCGGTTGTTGACTTCCGGATATGAAGCGAGGGAGTGGACAGCAATGTCCTTCTCTTTGACAATGTTGCTCATGCGGCGAATAATCGTCACGCGTACCAGATAGCTGTTGACGAAAGCAATTACACGCGGGGGGGGGGGGAGAACAGTGTTAGTTGGCAGCCACATCAAATCCAGTGCAGCAGACACGGCAACGAACACAACTTCGAACAAGCAACGTTACCCATTTCACCATCTTCGACTACAAGGCGTTGTCATTTGGCCCATCACGAAACAACTTCATTTCAACACTGCCTGCTACTGTTCACATGACCCACAGCGCAAAAGCCCTCGACACGGCAGGCATTCATCTGACTCTGACGGACCGCAGCTTTGCGTTGATGCCCATGTACGTCTCGTAGGGCTTCTCCACATTCTTGAACTCGAAGCTGAATGTCTGGTTGCGCAGCATCTCGCCCGGAGGCGCCAGTTCTTTCACCACAGACGAAAACTCGTGGTGTGTCCCGCGGTCAAAGAAGAGCTCTGCAGGTGAAAGCAAACGGCAGCAGGGCATGAGCCAGTGCATGTCGTGGCAGGTGGAAGTGAGATAAAGTGCACAGACGACGCACATACAGAAACAGGCGCGTACACATGTACACACACACGTACACATGTACACACACACACGTACACATGTACACACATTAAACACACACGCACACACACACACACACACTTGCTGCGCTCATGGTTGACCAAGGATTGTCACTCCATGGCATCACGCCCTTTCGCTTGATTTCACTCGCTGTTTCTTTTCCATCCCCACAAACCATCTCATCACGAGAAGACACAGGAAAGCACCACCTCACCCTGCCCAACGCACCGATTTGTCCGAGGAACTCAACCTTGATGCCATGGTGCTCCAGCTTCTTTCCAGGGTACTTGAGGTGGATGTGCACCTTGCCAGACACGGTTTCGCCATCAAAGTAGAGGGGCTGCTTCTCTGTTTGGCCGTTCTCAAGCTTGACGGGCACCTTCTCCCTTGTCTCACTGCCTGTCAGCTCAACTTTGATGTCGGCCGTTTGGCCAAAGCCAAAGAAGTTCTGCCATGTGTGTATGTGTGTGTGGGGGGGGGGATGAGCTAGCGTGACCGTGGGAGTTGATGCGATGAACGGGTGTGCTGCACTTTTGCGCTCACAGTATCACACTCACACACACACACACACACACACATACAAGCCCACACTCACCCTCACACCCATTCACCCTCACACTCACATACACACTCACACTTGCACCCACGCTCACACCCACATTCACACCCACACTCACGTCCGCTACCACCAACACACTTGCTCCATTGACTCACCATCGTCGTTGCGCTTTCGCTTCTTCTTCTCTTTTGGCTTGTTGGAGGCGAACATTGGTGGAAATTGTCCACAAATCCTCTGCCTTGCTCAACAAAACAACAACAAGAAGAAGCTTTGCTTTGCTTGCTTGCTTGCTTGATTGGATCCAGGTTGGGTGGTGTGTAGTGCTGACTGTCCTGTTGGTGGTGCTAGTGGTCAGAGGTGTGGTGTTTACAGCTGCCACCAGCATCTCCCACCCGCGAGCGCACATACATACGCGTGCACGTGCACACGTGGGCGCCCCTCCCTCTTGCGTTTTTTTTTCTCTCCTGCTTCTCGGTCAAAACGCAACAACAACCACAACCACAACAACAACCAACAAATCGCAACCACAACAGCAAGTAGCCAGCTTTCAACACAGGGAACCGCAGGGACAAGGGCAGAACCGAAGAAGCAAGCCAACATGCTGTCCGAGCCCCAGCGCATCAAGCTGTGGCTTGAGCTCAAAATCTCCAGGCAAGATGCAGAGAAGGCCCTGCACAATGAGCCGGAAGGCACCTTCATCATCCGCGCCAGCGCATCGCGACCAACAGACTACGTGCTCTCGGTTCGCGTTGGCGATGGCATCAAGCACAACCAGGTGTGTGTGTGTGTGTGTGTGTGTGTGTGTGCGTGCGTGTGTGCGTGCATGTGTGTGTGTGTGTGTGTGTGTTGGTTGGCTTGGCTGTTTGATTGTTTGGATTAGCCGCTTGGTGGTTTGTATGCCTGTGCTGCTGCCCTGTGCGCCCAACATATGGTGGGAGCATGTTGCCCTCACTTCCCCTTCCCTCTTTCACTGTCCACGTCGCCCACATATCCACAGCTTCGACACAACGGCGGGAAGATGCTGACCAAGAGCGGGAAGCTGCTGCGCAGCCTGCCGGACCTGGTGCAGCACTACCGTACAGAGAAGGACGGCTTGGCAGTGCTTCTGGGTAAGACGTGCACTTACTTTGACCCGCCAGAGGAGCCGCCCGTCACCTACGCCAACTTGATTCGCTCCCACAACAAACTCGAGTCCGACTACGAACGGGCAGCTGACGGATTGCCGCCATCAAGTATGACCGCGTGTGCGTGTGTGGGCCTGTGCCTGTGCCTGTGCCTGTGTGTGCCTTGTGTGCCTGTGTGTGTGTGTGTGTGTGTGTGTGTGTGTGTGTGCGTGTGTGTGTGTGTGTGTGCGTGTGTGTGTGCGTCTGCATGTCTGCCCGTGGCTTCGTCTCTGTGCGCCTGAATGTGTATGTTTTCAAATGTGGAACCGTCAGCCTACGTGTACGCAAGCATCTGTGGTAGGCGTGCATGTTGCGCACATCCAAGCTGATGGGGCATGCCAAATATCACTTGTCTCATCCACCCTTTGCAATACCACCACCACCTGCTGTCACGACTTTGTCACTGCGTTATTAGAAGCAGATCCAGAGGCCGGGCTGTATGAGAACGCGTCATCTGTTGTTGCAGCCATGTCCTCGCTCCCGCCAATGCCTTCGGACACAAAGAACCGCCGCCCACCTGCTCGCCCACTCTCAGATGCACTCAGGTACCACCATGTTTTGTTTGTTTGTTTGTTTGTGTGTGTGTGTGTGTGTGTGTGTGTGTGTGTGTGTGTGTGTGTGTGTGTGTGTGTGTGTGTGTGTGTGTGTGTTCTTTGGTGCGTCATATCACGAAATGCGATTCTCCATTCTCCTACATCGCACAACATGACAATACACACACACACTCTCTCTCAAACCGTCCCCACCGCATTGCAACAAATATGCACCTCACCCCTTCGCCCTACTCCCCGCGCCCCGCAACACGTTGCACAGCACACACACCTCGGTGAGCATGGCCTCTCGCTCAGCGCGCGAAGTTGTTGACGAGGACGAGGATGACGCCCACGACTACGAGAACGACTACATCATCCCCGAACTGCTTCCGTTTGAGATTGAGGCGTCCCGGCTGCAGGTGATGCACGAGCTCGGCGCAGGCCAGTTTGGACAGGTGTTTGCGGCGTGGCTGGCGCCGTGCACACACCCGCAGGCGGCAGACCGCACGTGCGAGGAGCGAGATGGGCAGCTGGTGGCTGTCAAGTCATGCAAGGCTGCGTCGGAGGACGTGGTGGCGGTGAAGCAGTTCATGCAGGAGGCCGAGACGCTCGCCCGCTTCTCGCACGAGAACGTTCTCAAGCTGATTGGCGTGATCACGCAGCAGAAGCCGCTGCGCATCATCGTGGAGCACATCCCATATGGGGACCTGCGGGCGGTGCTGAAGAGCTGCCGCCGCAACAGCA